GWAAWGAAAKGGTGACGTCAGAGTTTCCCGTCATGCAATATTTCAATTGCAAATGGCGGACGGAAGTAGATGTCTCTTCTTGAAACTTTGAGCAACTTATCATGACTTTAGAAGCCGCTATAAAAGTACTCAAACGCGCAGTTGAGCTCGATGAYGACAAGAGCTTTTCAGAAGCCTTGGTTTGTTACCAAGAAGGCATGGAATTGCTTATGAATGTACTAAAAGATACCAAAGACGATAATACAAGAAGGCYCTACAGGGAGCAAATGAACTCATATTTAGAGCGAGCAACAAAGCTTAAGGAYTTCGTAAYCGAAAAGAAAAAAGCAGGAGAATATCACGAACAGATTAAAATCCCAGACGGAGCTGTAGGCTATAGCTATGCTAGGATTTTCGGTCCTTACTTAGATAAACAAGTTGAAGAAGTTGTTGTTGAGGATCCTTACGTCAGAAGTGTTCATCAGATTTATAATTTCTTAAGACTTTGTGAACTGCTTGTGTTAAAAGGAAAAGTGCGCATTATCAGACTTTTGACAGGTAGGGATCAACAGTCACTAAGCCACAGGAAGCCCAAGCAATATCAGTCGGAGCTCAGTCCAGACTTGCTGTGCAGAGATTACTTCCCTCAACCTTTTCTAAATAGTATTACACATTGCATTCTGGTCTTGTTTGGGTATAACCTCTTCATTCATCCGAATATATATGACGATACGTGTGCCCAAGTAAAACCACAATCTACAATGTTTTTTATCAAAAAGAGTATTTGGGAATGATCAACTTCATAGCTCCCTTCCCTTCTACAAAGTTAGCTATGCCATTGCATCAAAGCAAGCCAAAGAGCAAGCATGCAACAATGATAGATACCTTTGATTAATTGTATATAGGCAACATGCATTATGGGTATCTAATTAATATGCGAGCTCAGTAATCTTGCTTTGTTGCACATTCACACCTACATTTCAAGTTGGTGCAAGAAACTGTTAGGTATATCATTTCTAAGAGAATTTAAGGATTAATTGTTGTTTAAGCCTAAGTTTTTCTTGTTATACCATAGGTCAAGACAATGCCAGTCCACAAAACATCAAAACCCAACAAGATAGACTAAATGAACTTGGCAAAAATCTTGAAAAACATAACATTAAATTTCAAGTGGAATACTGCAACACATTGCATGACAGAGAAATTCGCTTCAATACTGGCTGGGTGATAAAGATTGGTCGAGGACTGGACTATTTTAAACCACCAGAAGGGAAATTTTGCATTGGTTATTGTGATTATAATTTAAGACGATGTCATCAGACCGATGTAGATGTGTATTTTAAAAGGAAATAGTGCATTGGTGGATCCAGGGGGGGTTCCGATCCAGGGGGGGTTCCATGAGTTCCTAGGAACCCCCCTCAAGCATAAAAAAATAAAAAATAAAATAAATGATAAATTGAATAAAATGAAAACGCATCGTACAATGAAAAAGTTCGTTTTAGGTAAATGTGAAAACAAAGTGGAACTCCCCTTTGAAAAATCCTGGATCCGCCACTGTAGTGGTAGACTTATTACATATTACAGACACTTCACAAAACCGTGGAGTGAAACTATGACTTATGGAATCAGTCTAAGTCATACTTGATAGAGGGGAATGGGTTTGGAAACGTTTGGTTGACTTCTTTCGTACATCTTTTGTACGTATTTTGAGGTTGAATCATTCTGAAGACTGTGTAAAATGTTTTTTTCTTACCGACAATGAAAATTACAAAATGAGTGAACATAAACCCTTTCTATGAGATTATGAAATGAGATATTCCAATATTGGTTAAAAGTTTTTTAAGCACTTTGAAGAAATAGTCAAAAGAATAATTTTCCCTCTGTTCATTCAGATGTGACCAGTATGGCTAAATCTATAAGTCAAACAAAAGATTGTGCACTGTCGTTCTTGGAAAAAAAATGCACAAAAACCTACAACAAATGGCTTCCTTATAACCATTCATTTGGACCTTCAAGTCCAAGCATGCCTCAGGGTGAATTTCTAGACTGGGTTTCATGTTGTGTCTGCAGTTTTCTAGCATTTTTTCTCGCAGCTGTGTTGCACACAGRATATATGAATTATTATCATTGTTTTGTCGAATTTTATTTAGAAGTAAAATTATATTGTCCATGGAAAATCTTGAAAGTTCATTACCTTGGGCTCCCTGTGTATTATCTTCCGTTCTATTGCACTCCCCTTCCCCCCACAGTATCAATTTGCATTAGTTTCACAGGACGCCGATTATCTGGGAATGTGTCAAAACAGCTTTGGATCTTGAAYAGATAACAAGCTTTGTGGACTTTTCGTCGATGGCAAAACTCTAGCTTTCTTTCAGCCGTCACAGTGATAAATTCATGGACTAGCAATCAAGTGGCAAAGAGTTCCAGCTGATTTTTGCGTCCTGCCGATTTGCTAATCAACAAAGATGGCGAACCAGACAACAGGCATTTTGAACCCAGGGTATTCTTCAAGCCCTCCTCCAGGAAAATCAGTTCTTAAAGAAGCAGTTGACGCTGTTGTAAATTCTTTTGCTAAACATGCTCAAGGATTTGGAGGAGGTAAGGAAATCTGACAGTAAGGACGTAACTCCATGTAGACATCAAAACTAATCTTGTCTTTAGATCCAGGTCGAAATAAAGCAAACATGTTTTGAAATTAGGCAAGTCCAAGTTCTTTTAAAGCAACAGAAACCTTCACATTAAACTTATTTATATTTCCTCTCAAAGAAGAAGAATATGTACCATAAATTAGACGGAAATGAGGGAAGATAGACGCGATTAAATTAGATGCTTGTCATCGATTCTAGAACACGAAACATTTCCGGTTCAGGAATTATACTTATTACTTAAATCGAAGTTTGTATATTTTGAAAACTGAAGCACAATTTCCAATACTGCATGTAGTATGCGCATTTTAAACTTTTGCTTATTGTTTTTGAGATAATTGTCGTTCGGTGTCATTAATCCAGGCTCTTTTGATGTTTGCCGACTGCGTTGTGTATCAAGCTTTTGCGGTTAACGGTTTTCGAATGCCATTGTGCATCATTGTGCATTTGACGATAATTTTCCAGGCATTGTCTTTCTTTTCCAGTATTTTTCTTGCGTACATGTGTCTTTTTCCTTTGAATTTCTCATTAATTTGTTCACTTATTTTATTTGTTCAGTCTCATCTTCTTGTTCAGTTATTTATTCATGGAGTAGAACCTCTACTTGCAGCCACCATCATTAGTGGCGATGATTTCCTATGAGCACATTTCCAAAAGATTCACAATTAATATGCCCTAAATGTGATCTTATCTCAATTCAATGTTTTGCTATATGTCTACCAGACAGGGTTGTCATGGATTCCACAATCCACGATCCTTGCATCCATGTACAAGGAAGCTTAGTATTTTTGAACAAACTTTTTCAGAGTTTAGTTTTAACTCATGATTTTTCTTCACAGCTGTAAATGTAGAAGATGCACTTCAAGAGTTCTGGCATATGAAAAACCCATCTCGTGCAAATACTGTGAGATACGAACAGGAGACATTAGATAAGCCTCCATATGTTTGCTTTGTAATTCTGCCAGAAGGAAGTTGTTTTGGCAGCTTTCAGTCCTGTCCTACAAAAGCAGAAGCCAAGAGAAGTGCCGCTAAGATTGCATTGATGAATTCAGTATTTAATGAACATCCATCAAGGTGATTAATTGATTATTAATTGATGATAAATTAATGATTTATTACTTGGAGATTTATGATATTCCATGTTCAGGTTCATTGACCACAAACAAACCATTGAATCAAGGTGTCAAGGTACCCTGAGCGTCAAAGAAAAGATCTGTGCTCATTGTTCCTTGAKGTCTTGGTCCAATGCTTTGTTCATTGTCATGGAAACTGGTACWGAAAGATTTYATAGCAGTAGACACTTGATTGGCTAATGTTTATGGCTTGATTTGTGATTGATTGGGATGGTAWGATGATTGGTGAGATGGCATTCTRGTACCCAGATCCTTCTCATTTTCTCAACGGAAAATCGAAACTGGATAGAACCTGGGTARGAGAATGGATGACATATGGTAAATGAAGTTAAAACTTCACTGATAAAGTTTAGAGGATTAAATGGATTAATAATTGATTAATATCCATGTAGTGTTTACACTTGGGCTAACACCATTGTCATTACTTTCCAGGAAAATTACAGATGATTTCATTGATCTGGCAGTAAAAGAAGCTCAAGAAACGGAAAAAAAGATTTCCATCAAAAGAAGAACAGTATCACTACAATCTCAAGATCCCAATGACCCAAGTACAGGAGTTGGAGCTTTTAGATTCATGTTGGAAGCCAACAGAGGTCGTACCATGCTGGAATTCCAGGAACTCATGACCATTTTCCAGTTACTTCACTGGAATGGTAGTTTAAAAGCTATGCGTGACCGTGACTGTTCACGACAGGAAGTACTGTRACACTACAGTCATCGAACAATTGATGATGACATGCGAAGTCAAATGGCACTTGATTGGATCTCYCGTGAGCAAGAACAGCCAGGAATCATTAAGAAAGAGTTAGATCGCTCTTGTAAGGAGCTTGAACATTGCCGTCTCTCTGGTCGTGAGTTAAGATTTCCTAAAGAAAAAAGAGATATTCTGAGAATGGCATACAACCAGCTGCGAAATTGCTAGAGCTGTTGTTGTTATTAGTCCTTGTTCATGGTAAAAGTATGAAAAATAGCTTTGGGGGATCTTTTTCTGGTATAATACATAATGTTGCTATTAGTGTTCTCAGAATTTCAGACAGGTTTTTGACTTGAAAACCATTTCTAGTAATGCAAGCCCCCTTGAAAAGCCTCCCTTTGTGCCATTGATTCTGAACTGATACATTCTTGAAGAATTTTATACTTTGTTCTCTATTCTCCACCTGATTTTTACCTTTTGGACGGTCAGTAGAATAGGAAWTGACACAGACCCATAATAACATATTCAACTTACTCAGATTTTATTGGTACTCCTGGGTCCACGCAGACGTTCTTGATCTTATAATATATTATTTGATTTATATAGAGCTTGTAATATATATTTGAAATTCATCAATTAATAAATACTGCTTCTCAGAAAAACTGTATTGCTCATTGATGTTATATAATCAACAGGGATATCGCAGTATATTTTAGTTATTCCTTTCCTAACTAATGCGTGGTAGACTCGAATGTTGCAGCTTATTTTGATAAGTGGCAGTGTATTCGTATCATTCCCTTCAAAGAGCCACATTGAGTGAATTGCAGACGAATTTGGCTTATTCTATTCCAATCTCTGCATCAAATGCCCTAAGGCGATCTTCCCAAGATGGATCACGGCACGTCTGAAATAACCTCTCTATATCGGTCTCGGGCTATGTCCGTTTAGTATTACCATACTTGTGGACTATTGCAAATCCTTCGTTCTGATTGGCTACGCTATTCGGGGTCTATTTTCAATAGTCCTCGACTAGCGAAAAGCGATAACTTCTTGCCTATTTTTAGCAATAAAAACACTAAGTTATTTATATATTTCATTCATTTTTGTCCAACTAGTATGGTAATACTAAAACAATTAGTCTCTCGGCCTCGTGGACTACGAGCTGATAGCCCATTCGGCCTTCGGTCTCATGGGCTCATAGTCCAATCGCCCAAATAAACTGATATGTTCCATGAYAAGCTGCTGAGAGGCAAAATTGATCTGTTCGCAGTTTTTCCAGTGGGAAACGAATTTTAAAAMCTGTTGAGCTTTTTATCTTCTTCTCATTGTATACGTGGTATCAAAATACATATATGTTAACATGGAAATTTTGTCCTCGTCCACTGAACGCGTAAATTTAGCATTTTTTTCATTTGGCGCTGAAAAAGCTTATCCAAAAGACGATCTTGGGCTAACACTATTATTTCCCTGTGGGACCTTTCGTTGTGTTGTGATAGGAATGTCCCATAAGATATCTTCCATGGCCGGAATAGTTCTTGCACATCGACTTGAAAGAGCTGATTGGACTGGTGATAGCAGCTGATCTGATCTGAGTCTTCGATGCATTAATAACCTGCTGAACATAGACCCCTTGCAGTTCGTGGGAATGCAGCTTCAACTGGAGGAAAAAACAATAGATTCTAGTTGCCAAGAAGCTGCTTTGACGTCACATGCAAGGGGTCTATAAGAACATATTTTCATCATGAAACTTCAGTGACGATGTAGAGGTAGGAATGCTCAGGAAGGTCAGGAAGACCAGGAAGATATTTTCCAAGGAAAATTTCTTGCGCCTCTTCGAGTTCAGACTGTTTTCTTATTTGATGGATYTCTTCTGAAAAATCATCCTGAAAGTGTAAAAGAAGATAGTACTGTTTGGTCCTGGTAGTATAGGCAGTTTGTGACGCGCCATCGGCCATTGACTACATTGACAGTTGGGCAAAGTCCCAAAAGAGTTGAATGTGCTGGATCGGTCATTAGAGTCCARGTGTGCAGTATCATCTTCCATGATTCGGGAGACAAAACAAGGGAGTGAACATTTTTATGCTGCCCCCCAAATAATGTTATTTCGATGTCAACATGAGAAACCCCATCTGAGATCCACATCTTATAAAATACTGTAGTAGATCATGGAAAGTAACTGAGAGAGCCACTGTGCGCAGGTAGTAGCCTCCTCGGCCGCATTAATAAAGAATCAGTCTAGTCTCCGCTTGCAAAAATAACTATAGACCTGTAGGAAACCAAATATTTAATAAAATTGCACGTTTATAACTTCTTCAAGAGTCACATATTCTGGTGCAGAGCGGAGAGTAAACATTAATAGGAAACTTAATCATTTGTCTCAAGGGTGGGTTCAGCGTTGGCTGGGCAGCCCCTAGCTACTGAAGACTTCTCCCTTATGATATTAATTTTCCCTTAATTTGCGTGCCGTCTCCTTTGTGACAATTGTGGAGTGCATTCCATCCTGGGTGACCAACATTKAACCTCTAAAGAATATCATGGCATCCGCTCCTGAAGCAAGTTGTTTGAAACMTCAGRGTTCGACCGGCACTGAAGCAGGRGACAAAGTCTTCATAAAGCGATTGTCTACCATATGGCTGTTACCGCGTATTAATTAATGTGTCGCTTGTTTTGATAACAGGAGAGCTAAGCGTCTTAAACCTTTTTTTCAACCTTGCTTTATGTTCAGTCGTGATGTGCGTGCTGGCAGCCGGCTTAGTCTTACATATCCCAGTTCCCATTTGGAAAGGTAGTCAAATAACCGATGTCCTGATGAAAACGACTGTCAAAATCACAACAATATTATTTTTTATATCGTTTTTATAGTGCAAAAAACAACAATTACATCAATACTGCTCTTATCAGCTAAATGACCCAACGTTATAAGAACACTTACATTAAACGATTTGTCCTTTTGATATTATGTCGGATCTACTCTGCGAACAGAGCTACTTTTCTCACCCTCTTCTCGGRGMGTGAGGGAAAAGTAGCTCTGTTCGCAGAGTATGTCGGATCATACTGATATATTGAAAGTTTAATGTTCAGAAGCAAGTCTTCCCTGTGCTTCTTACTATAAACTGTTGACCAACACTACTTGGGTTTTGATCCCCGAAAAAGAGATTCCGAATTTTATTATTCAATCAAAATTCACAATTATTTCCATCGAAATTTACAAAATATWTGACAAATACTGTTCATTGTCTGGATATTCATCCGGCTCGTTATTCAGCGCTATTTTGGAACTTGCCATTGTCTCTTGCCAGAAGAGAAGTTTTCTGACGATGCACTATTGTGGCACCTTAATCCACCACCCTTGTGTTGATCTAGGATGTAGAATTGTTGGCAATGCATGCCCGGTCGGCTGAGAGAGGAAATGTAAAATTTAGTTGATCTGAAGAAAAGAGATTCGTTCAACGCAAAATTGAACATCTATTAAACCGAATTAACCGGATGAATCAGAAACTATATGCAACATATCTTGTTTGCCGTAATTTGGTAGYRATGGAAGACGAAACTGGATGAAATCCCACCCACCACAAGAATTGTTTTTGAGAAGAAAAATATGGAGTTCATTTYTATTATGGTTTAATTTTTCTAGCWTTGTATTCAGACCGTTTTCCAGCCGTTATCATATTGTTATTTGTTCATAAGCCTTCCGTCAATACACACCATCTGGCACTTCAGTCAAAAATGAACGAACGCTCAAGTGAATTCACCCTTGTTGAAAAAATGCCCAGTAAAAATCGTGTAAATATAAATCCGATATATTTATATCCTTCGGTGTTTTAAGTCGTGTGTCCTTCAAAAGACCCGAGCAGTAGYGCTTTGCATCAACATTAGAAAACTGTCTTCTTTCTTGAACGGCCTCAGTTGGAGAGGACAGTCGGGGACCGTGTCGCAATTCAAATTGTAGGACTCCTAGTTGACAGTTAAATTTTGATTAACCTATTATATACATCTCTAAATTATCTTCTTTCAGCTGTGGAAAATTGCAAAAAAAATGAATCTATTCTGTATTTCTCCCATTCTCATGAAGAAAATTGTTATTCCATTTACTCTTAGATTTTTTGTAACAAAGTGAAAGTAAATTGTCTGGTTAAAATGAAAACAAGAATAAAATTAGCTTTTTATATAAATTCTAGTATTCTTGCACCTGACGTCACCATCGTTATTTGGGGACAAAAACACACTGAGGCTAAGAATAAGAAACCATTCGCTATAGCAAAAACAAAACATGATCCGGCATTACCGCAGCAAACTCTCAGTTTTCGACACATTAGAATTATCATTCAGTTTTCAAGCACAGGCAGAAGCAGTTACAAGGTTTGTAGAAGCTGAGTTACTATTATTTCTGGTATTTTTAAAAATAACGGAATTCACTGTGTAATTTGGTATAGGAGAATGCTCAAATAGGATTTCCTGAGCACTTTCAATCCCCTGTCCTCAGTGACTTACTGCACGAAGCCCAAGAACGCTTCAAATTTTCCCAAAATCTCAAAAGTGCTGAATGGAAGTCTTATGAGCTTTACCATTAATTTGACATACCATCTCGATTACRGTCTTTATTTTACGAAATTCTTGCAAGTAGGGGCACAATGTTGTGGTGTGGCCCGGTCAAATACCAGCACATTTCATTATGRAAATATATGCTAATCTATGCAATTTGACACGAGGTTTTCGCTTTGCGCATGTTGCCTGCGCCGTCTGCTAAAGATCATCAGTTCATTCAGGAAGGCTTTTGCTGCAACAAAAACTACGCCTTTTATTGACATCTTAGAAAGCTTAAATCTTCCTCGGCTTAGAATCACTGACGTAGAAACTGTTGAAGAAACATTTTAGGTAAGTTGGGCCTAAAAGCGTGTTTGTTTTTGTCAGAAAAGCTCTTGAATACTTGAAAATTTGACTTGTTCACAACATGTTGTTGCTGTGGTCGTGCGCATCTTGCCGAGAAAAATGCTTAGAATTTGACCAAGAAATGGACACCATTTGTATCAAATCGTAATCGATTGTACTTGTCTGAGGCATAGCCTTGTTTTGAAGGTATTTAGATGTGTTAGAAGTTGCTTTTTATTCATTTTGGTGTACAATTTTCTCGTAAGGAGACTTGATTTGCATTGACGCACATACTGGCGCGACTGATAACAACACACCAGTCCATTGCCCTTCGTTCGTGAGGAAAAACAGTTCTTTTTCTTCAAAACAGCTGGACTGGGCTGATTATTCTTTTTTAACCTCTTTGTCTTATTCTGTGTCCAGCTTACGGGCATTTTTGACGAGCTGTTTGTAATGAAATTCGACTTTGGAATGATATTTTTGTGAGCGCCTCTTCTGACAATGTGCCGTCAAAAGCAAGCGAATCGTGCCTTCTGTCGTTCGAAACTTCATTCGATTTTATCACAGATACACAAATCTGTCTCYCAGTGAACCATTTATCAATAAAATTAAAGACATTTGTATGTAAAGGACAGTATTCTTGGCCAGAAGAGTCCCCAATATGAGGAAATTTTCGAAATCCTATGTCTTTGACAATGCGAAAGGTCTTGCCAAGACAATTGGATGGGAAGACACGCTCGATTTGACTTGCCATGCTTTAAACGATAATTTCCCTAAATATCGAATAATTCCCCTTGCATTTTGGTCGATTTTATCCGGTTTGTAGTTTTTTACGCCAATTTTTTTATAGCGCGCTCGATGGCCGAGTGTTTAGCTTTGACATTTGAGTATTAATGTGAGCAATAGATCAATTCATGCCGGTATACGATTTCAAAACCCCAGAATCATTTCAGCATATTGTCAAAGCTTTCCATTAGCAATACAAAGTATGGCTTATTTGTATTTTAACAGAAAYACRCAAGCGAAAAAGTRCATCGCTTTTTAAGAATAATTTCTTCATTTTGATKTGGCAAATTTGAGTTTAATTATTGCTTAGAACATAGAAAATCCTTTGGTAGATAAACATTGTCGGATTTCCTATTTGATAATTGCCAGAACAAAAGAACAGTTTCATTTTATTTCAATTAACATAAATTAAGAAATGTTTCCTATATTTTATTTCWGAATTTCCAATATAAATATTAWTTTTTCTGCCATATTTTTTTATATATTTTTTATGTTAAAAGGGATGTTTATCTTTGAAGATAATACCATTATAATGCAAGTTATCTTGCTGCCCATATTTTCACATCAGAAATCTGCAAAATATGATTGCATTTTTCCTTCCAATATATTTTCCTCAAAAAACAATACAAATTTTGTGAAGAAAAGTGCAAAATTGAATTAAAAATTGACAATTTTCTTTATTTTGCTGTGTTTTCCATAGTGTTACAAAAGAGCCATTTTCAAAAAATCCTAGTTGACTCCAATAATTTTCACCATTTTTATAAATTATCATTTCTATTTGACATAATCTTCTCACTTCAGGTCTGGAAAGAAGGCATTTTTTCTTTTCTTTTAATACATTATTATTATTATCATCAAACCATTGTTTCCATCTCATTGTCTTTTATCAGTCAGAAATAGCACATTTTCTGAAGCAATAAAAATAATAAATATAAGATTGACGGAAAGGCTAAAAACACCAGCCTGCCAATGGCCAAATGACAGTCCATATTGAATATTTTTTCCTGATCCACAAAAATAAAGGAAAGCCAAAAGAAAAATAACTTGGAGAGCAAAACATTAGCTTCTAAATAAAATGCCTTTCCTTGGTTCTCAGTTTAAAGCTACACAAATTACTCTAGCTCATGGCGTATTGCCATAAATACAATATTGCCATGTACAAATTGTTGTAATTGTCAAAAGTCAAATCTATCTATGGCAGGCTATTTTTCCCATTTCAAATCCCTTGGAAATACTCCATTTTATTGTCCCTAGGGCTGTCTTGAACAGCAGCCAAGCCTTGCATGAAATAGTCTCCTTCACGGTTACATGCGACATCTTGAAAGGTAGCTGTGCCTTTGCATCAAAGCGAGACAACTGTTGAGCGTGCAATGATAGATACCTGATTGATTACAAGTTCAACCACGGTCTTGCTATTGCAAAGCTAATTGTTTTTGCTGCAAAATATATATGAATGGAGTACAAACTTTAAATATTGGATGGTACCTTGTGTCTAGAAGACAATGGCACTCATTTGCAGACTATAAATAGAAATAACCAGAGCACAGTTTTTGCAATATGTCCCAAACTGATTGATAAGGCTAATAATGTATTATTATAGTGTGGTAATAAAAAGAGATTACTGTTTCAATAGACCACTTTGAAAAGTGCCTACAACCAATTTTATACCATTGGCCATAGAATGGAAACATTCAGCAATTTCATATGGATGAACTATAAGAAATAGTTCTTTGTGGAAAGTTTTAATGATATGGACTAAATAATAACAAAGTTATGGAGGAATAAAAATACATTTTTCTATAAAAAATTTCTTCTGAGGCCTTGGTAGTCTRTTTCCACTGRTTTGCGTCTCTTCAAACCCTTATAGCTTCAAGAGGATTTAATATTTTTCAGATTTTTCTGTGAATGAAACTATCCAAACCTATTTTTAACTTTGATATCTGTCATCTGAGTGTTTTCTTTTGTCAACATTATGAATTTAACAATAATATGCTAATTAGTACTTTGTTGTTGTTACCCTGTATTAAGTTAGATAGTCAGCTCATCTTTCTGCTATAAAAACCACTAATAAACTGTATCAGGATATATACTGTAAGTAAATCACCCAAAATACTTCTATCAAGCAAGCTATGGATGGATCACCAATTGTCAGCAAGACCTTGGCCTAGGCTCTGTGATCCCAGTCTTCTGCAAACAAATAAACCATTTAAATGATGGCAGTAGTTTACCACATTTATCAGAATCATGCTCTGTACCTTTTCTTTGTTYCTCAGATTTTTATTTCTTTTGGAGATATAATATATAAATAAAACAAGGAGGTGGGCGAAGCCTTTCAGGATTTGTGTAGTATATGTCAATATATGAGGCCATTGTTCAAATTACCTAGTAACCATGGTAACTTTCATGGAGATCACTTTACTGCTCCTCACYTCCTTTCCATTTAATCTTTGTTTTTTTCAACAAGGAAAGTTAAACTAATAGATTCATATTGAAGAAATGCCAATCAACGAGCTCTAAAAGTGTGAATGGCCTTAAGGAAATGGTTGCATTAAAATAGCTTTTTGAAAAATGATTGCCTGGTGCTCTCCTGTAGCTGGTGACTGGTAAAAATCACTTGTTAATGCTTACCTAATCACCAATTACTTGATTAAATTATTAGCAGTTTTCTTGTCAATGCAGCTTGGACTTGAAACTCTGTGTCTTCGTTTGCTATACCAGCTGTCAACATTTTTTTTTATACTGAGAACCAAGAGTAATAGATGGCACATGCTCAACAAAAAGCTATCTTTCTATTGTACTCACTACTACAACACTACTGAAGAATGACGTCAATGTGCTTAAAAGTTACTATGGTTACTTAATATCTTAATGCAAATATTCAGTCAGGTGAAGATATAAACTCAGACTCCATTAAAAATGATTATTTCCATGATTGTGGCCAAGTATTGTGGCTTGTGTAGTAAAAAGATGCCTTTGTCTTAGTTTTAAATCTGTTAATCGCCGTCTTTACAGTCTCAAAATTGCAAAACAAAGTTYGAACTCCCCTCTCARGAAACCCCTGCACATACTCCTGCTTGGCATTGGCTGTGTGATAGGCATTATAACATTTCTGAAATGCAAATTGTTAACTGATAGATTAATAATTCATTACTTGACATTTAAAATAATTAATGACAAAACATGAAATGAGTATGGCACACAATTGAGTATGATGGCGCCAGAAGRAGTGACTGAACAAAATGACAAGCTGTCCTGAAGGAATTGACCTGTCCACTGACTGGCCATTATTTCAAGCCTTGTAAGGCACCCTCTCTTAAAACCACTACACATCTGTATGAACAGTGGAGTATGTGCATGTGTCAGTACAGTAATGATTTCTCGTTTCTTTTTTGAATAAAAAGTAATTAATTTGACCTCAGTTAATGCAGGGGGGTGCATGCTCTTACCCCAGCAAACTATTGTGTATTTGCTGTAAGCGTCAGCAAACATTCACTTCAAATACATGGACATATCATCACTTGAACCATAATTGATTATATGACAGTGAGATGACATTTTGTCATACATTATATCATGCATTATTTAGCATAATTTACATGTCATTAAGTGGAGATTGATGGCTAGAAAAGGTCAACCTTAGAGACTGGACAAGWAGTWATGATATATTYCATATTTGTGTTWTAGGCCGCATSGTCATGGCGTCAAGCCAGAATGTGGTTGGAGATCAGCAYTACCAGTCTGATGACAACATCCGTGAGTATGCATTCCTCCTCCTTTCCCCAGCTCCCCCCTGGAAATACCATCATTAGGATTTATCATAAGAGGACAACAACACATTTAGACCTCTTGCATTTCTTAGGAAACCAGGACAAAACAATGCATTCTCTAGAGAGCAATTCTTCTGTTTTGTCCCCCAGATGAAGTGGCATTGACCTGACATGTAAAGGGCACAGCAGGTCTATGTTGCAGCRTAACTCCCCTTCCTTCCCCCCTCCTAAGAAAAATACTCTCCCCCCCCCAAAAAAAAAACCTCAAAAACAACAACAACAAAACAACAACAACAACAGCAACGCAAGAACAGCCCTTGTGGCAAAAAGGAGAGAAAAACACAACTAACAAACGAAGCTWCAATTATACTCCATGCACGAGTGGTAGCRCAAGTCTGACCAACATTCTGAAGGGCAAGCTTTCAACATAAACTTTTGCRGCACCCATACGAATCAAAATTTGACGTTTATTTTTTTTCCTAAATAGTATGCGATGATTGTGACAAGATGTACAACGGAGACTGTCCAGAACARGGACCTCTTCAGTGGATCAAAACAACACAAGCTGTTGACTCRAAAAACTACGCGCCATGCATTGCRTCMTTGCCWGACGGTCTGCTTCTGAAAGATAGTGGTATTCCAGGAAATAACATGGGAGTGTTTGCCGCGAGATTGATCTACAAGCGAACAATGTTTGGGCCATTTGAGGGAAAAGAGATCATGAAACCAGACAATCACCATGAYAAAGATTTGACGTTTGCATGGGATGTAAGTACAGCCAATTTAAATGTGACATGGTCCACCAGTATTCACTGCGGTCGTGTTTTAGATTTTCTTCAAATATCCATTCGCTATTCGTTTCTTCATCCATCGGTTTAAAGGTCGAATCTTACAGTATCTCCATTCATATAGTATGAAGGGATAATAAAGAGTACGTTTTTGCTAATATTACGATGTATTACTTTCAAACATGAGCAAAAGCTCGAAAGGGATGCTGGTGGACCATGTCCCTTTAAAGTGACTTTCAATGCGGTCGTGTTTTAGATTTTTCACATATGGAAAATGAGGTGACTTTAAATAGCCATTCGCAATCCGTTTCCATCCATTGCTTTTAAGATCAATTCTTCCAATATCTCCATATAGCATAAATGGATAATAAAGAGTGAGTTTTTGCTTATATTATGATGTATTAAAATGGATCGCACACCCACCCCTCCCCTACGATTATAATAGTTTCATCCCCCATACCTAACATTATTATTCTCTCAGCTTTTACAGGAAGGAATCCCAAGCTTCATTCTCGATGGATCAGACGAGAAGCATAGCAATTGGATGCGTTTTGTGACGTACGCGCGCGATAGACGCGAACAAAACTTGATAGCATTTCAGTACAAGGGCCAGATTTTCTACCGCACTTTTAGGGATGTGTATCCAGGAGAGGAGCTCATGGTATGGTATGAAGACGAGTACACTTGCAGTCTTGACGAACTACAAAATGAATATTCCAGGGATCAAAGTAAGAAATTTGTGTGTTAGTACATGTAGAGTGCTCGCACTAAATGCGTGAAATATAAATACTACAAAATAGGTGATAAATTATACAAATTTCTTTGTTTCCTATTGTATAATCAACACTATTTAGAAGTAATTAGTACTATTTGTTTCACGCTTTAAGTTTAACCCTAACTCTAACCCTAATACTGAGATATTAGCAAATAATGCCATATACATGTACATGAAGTACTGACGCTTTTACGGCGTCACGTACCGTATACGCAATGCATTGTAGGATATGTTTGGGACAAAACATGGCGGATTTCTTTTGTTTTCTCGAGAAACTGATCCCCAAATACATTGCCCCCCCCCCCCCCAAAAAAAAAAAAAAAAGAAGGAAAAAGCAAAGCAAGAAAGAATCTTTTCAAAAGAAATTCGGATTTTCTTTTTTCTTGTGCGCGTATGATTCAGAATTTCTTCGTCCTCTTCCGTTTTCTTTCCGATAGGTTTGTCAATACTCTTCGGATACATTCGTAAATTTCGGGAATAGCTTGACCTCCTAGTGTTAAATGTTTTCAGGGCTCCTAATGATATCAGGTAGCCCTTTGGGTTCTGACGGGGTTACCCTGAGTTTTTAAATTGATGTCTAAATAAAGGTTAATATATCTATCTAATATTGCTTGTATTTTCTTCCAGTGCCAGAGTTTGCATGCCAGCGATGCCGTCTAGTGTTRGCTGGATCAACATACTTATCCAAACATCATAAGTTTCGTTGCCCTGACGGACCCCTCCTAAGTACGTATGGAGCTCGTACAACAGGTCTAGTGGGTGCCCTGTTTCGCCTTCCCGTAGCCATAGCAAACGACTCCTGGTCTACCCCAGTATCTAACAACGAGAATAAGTCTCGTTCTGAAACCGAGTCTCATCATGGACGACGTAAYAGAAAACCACGCAAACTTCCACGGCCGTCTGAAATCGAYGAGATCTGGAATCCAGAGCAGCCGTTRGGGCCTCCCCAGATAGGGGACTTGAGTGACATCGATCCTGAACCTGTAGCAGAGCCRACCACAGTTTTGTTACCACCCGAAACACAYACYCTAAATGCAAACACTGTWGATGATATTACWATTGAGATGGAAAACAATAATACTAATTATCTAAAGAGACTTACATCGGATGAAATCACACCCCCTCAACTTGAGAAGAAGCCAAAACTTGATAATGGT